GGATGTAAGGTGTTGTATATGGAAGTGGGGTTTGGATTCAGCAGTACTGATGTTCTCATGCTGCCCATTTTCACAGTGAATTCACAGAATCACAGAATGGCCTGGGTTGAAAAGGACCGCAATGATCATCTCTCTTCAACCCCCTGCTATGTGCAGGGTCACCAACCAGCAGACCAGGCTGCACAGAGCCACATCCAGCCTGGGAACTGGGTACAACCATCCAACAGATGTGACCCAGGATGGGATGCAGACACTTTAAAGACTACTGCAGGTTGGCAAAGGGACCCATCAACAGCTGTGAGATGCAGTGTGTGACAACACCTTGATTTGTTCAAATAAGGGAACAACTGGCAATGACACCTGCAGTAAAAGCTACAGGCTGCTTCTTAGATCACACCATCCTTCTCCCAGTGCTGAAACTCCGTAGCGCCCCGCTGTAATTTTAACCTCCCTTATGATTCACGGAAAGAGCAGCATATTTCCTTACAGGGGAAAAAAAAAGAGCCCAGCACTGTCACACGGCTTCCCTGGCTCGCTGCCCGATAGCGTTGCATCAATACCATGCATTACATCAGCTGCTTCTGCTCTCCCTGCACCTCTGGCTCTGCTGGTGCACCTGTGCAGCGTCCCAGCTGTGCTCTGCAGTCGGTAATTCCTGCTCTGCAGACCTAAGGGCACTGCTGGGGCAGCGTGTGGATGTGTGCAGTGTGAGCTGGTGCAGGAGGAGGTGCTGATAAAGGGGTAAAGCCCGGAGGGAGCCATGGTGAGAGGTGGAGGAATCTCCTGGCTCAGCATTGTTGGGGTGGGAAAGACAGGAAGAGACCCCGAGCCATCTGGGAACGGCTGGAGCTTGTGTTGTTCTGTCCTTATTCTGGATGACCTGAAAAGCTGCTCTATGAGGCAGTATTACCCAAATTATGCCCTAAAATCAGCAGTCTGCCTCATGGTTAAAGGAACCCAAAGTCCTGCTCGCATCGCCAAGCCTGTTTGCAGTCCATGTGCTGCTTTCTTCCCCTTTTTTCCTGCTGTGCGACTCCCTGCCCACGTGAGGCCGGTGGCAGGCGGGCGCTGGGTTCCTCAGAAACGAAAGCAGTGGGTGCATTGGTTTTGTTCCCTCTTCCTCCTTGCTGAGCTGGTCCCTGTGCTGTGTGAGCAGTGAGTCAGCCCTGTGCTCACATCCCGCACGTAGAGGGGACTGCGGCCATCCCCGTGCTGCTGGGAGGTGCTTGGGCTGCAAGGGAAATTCGGGGTGGTTTTTTTTTTCTTCTGAATGCACTTAGGAAATTTTATTGCAAGGCTGGCTGTAAAAGTTGCTAAAGAGGCTATTCCTCCTTACTGCCTATTTTTTTTTTCCTTCTTAAAATAAAGTCCTTATCTTCTCTGCCAAGTTGGCGGCAAAGGTTGCAGCCAATTCTTTGGTTCGAGCCACGTTTTTCCTCTCTGCAGCTCTTTGAAAAGCGAGCGCTGCAGAAAAGATAGCCAGAGGAGACAGCAATCAGACAGGGCAAGTTCAAGGTCGTGCTCCTGCCCAAGGCAGGCTCTGCTCCCACCCAGAGTGCTGCAAACTGCAGGACGGTGCAGGCTGTGATCCCAGGCAATGCAGAGGGTCTGAGAGGTGACGCTCAGCCTGAAAAAGAAGAAGTTAAAAAGAAAAGCAACAAAACAAAGCAGGCAGGATCGCTTTGCCTCCTGAACCCAGGAACTTTGTATACACAAAATGCAGAAGGAGATGTCTGCAATCACACCGTGCTGATACCTGGAGCTGCAGAAGCTCAGGGCTCTGGTGATGGTTTGGGTAACTGAGCGGTTGGTGATCACTTGCAAACACCTCTGATGGCAGCACGGTGCTGAGTTAATTAAATAATATTTAATTCAGTGTTGTTTGGAGCTGCAGTAACAACATCTGTGCAGTCTCATTGTGTGGACATTTAAATTGGATTAAGAGTGGATAAAAAGATTAATGATTAACATTAAATTAGACTAATTTTAGCCGGTTCCTAATCTTATTTAGGAGAGTCACGGGGAGGTTGTCAGGTTTAATTGCAATTTTGATTAAAGCAGGCATTAAAGCTGGGAAAACGACAAGAGTCGAACGTCATCGGGAGGAAGAGCTGTGCAAGACAGTGAGGCTTAACCCAAATCCCATGGTGTGAAGGGGGGACATGTGGAGGCTGGGAAGGGGATGCCCTGAGCATGGCCATGCGCTGAGCTCAGTGCTTTTGGGTTTGGTCTTTGACAGTGTAAAGAGGAGAGAAATTCTGGTGTTTATCACAGTGGGGTGATGGCATGCACTGGAGGTGTCTCTGGTCTGTGGGGAGGGACAAAGTGGCCACTGGGAGCAGAACGCAGCGCGACTTTTGCAGTGCCAGAGGGGACACAGCTCAGAGAGTGCCTGCATTTATTGCAAACCTTCTCCTGTTGATGGATGTGGCTGTGCCAAGGTCTTGCTGTCCAGCAGCATCCATCCCTCCCTGCCTCTTAGTGGGACACTTCCTCTCTGGGGACACGGAGCGCATCAGATCAGAGCAGGAGCAGGGCTGGGGCAGTGCCAGGCTGAGCAGAGGGCACCGGTGTAACCCCGGGTTAGATCTAAAGTAGGTCAGTGATTTTTTGGGTTCAAAGTTTTATTTGCTTTCAGGCAGGTGCAGGGATTTCTGGTAATGAGTGAGAATTCATGAGAAATTCCTGAAATGCCCATGTGCTCAGGACAGTGCTGTCATCGGGACGTGGTGAGGTGGGCAGTGAGCTGCACACAGCGGCATTTGTCTGCGTGAGCCTTCAGCTGTGGCTTCCTCCTTATAAAAGCCCAAGTCCCATCAAGGCACAGTGCTGATGGGGGTCCCCCACGCCAAGCTGTGTCCCTGAATACCCACCTGCTTTCCTTCTGAGACTTAAAAATTTGCAGCAGATATTCCATAAGTGAGGCTGTTCTTGCTTGAGCTTGCAGAGCCTGGGGCACCGAGGCACTGTTTGCATTGAAGCTGCTGTGGGAAGATGAAGTGAAAATCCTGGCAGCAGCCTGCGTGCTGACCTGGGTCAGGGAATGGCTGATACCCCCCAGCTCCAGCAGTGCAGCTTCATCTTCCAAAGTGGTGAGCACTAAGAAGAGCAAAAGCCAACCTGTCTGTCTGTCCTTGCTTTGGGTGTGACTGAAGCAGACAGAAGAGGTGCCCAACAGCAGACATTGAGCCCAGACTCGCAGGATGTCTGCATCCAGCACCACCAGGAGCTGTGCAATAGCCCATGCCCTCCTCTCCTCTCCTCTCCTCTCCTCTCCTCTCCTCTCCTCTCCTCGTAGGAGTCAGGGAGGTTTGCTGCAGTTTCCTGCAGTGCTTATTAGGTGCTGAGCCCTGGGCTGCATGGGGCTGAGCTGAGGGTCCCTGTGCCCCACCTGGATGAGATGCGCCAGGACGCCGTCTGTGCTCGTGGCATGCTTCAGCTCTCAGGTTCTCAGCAAAATGCTCCGGTGTTCTCCCTACACCCCCATCACCCCCCAGCTGGGGTGGAGGAGGATTGCTGGGCACAGGAATGCAGCAGCCCCACATTGCTGAGCAGTGGCTCAGGACGGCACACCCAGCTCTGCTCCTGCACCCGGCACTGTGGGCAGGCACAGCAGGGCAGGAACCAACACTGCACACTTTGTAGCCGTAGGGCAGTATTTTTCCCAGCTCAGTTGCACTGCTTTTCTAGGAGCTCCACGGGCAGGCAGCTCCCACCAGCAGTGCATTGGGCACACAGCTTCAGGGCCACCTGGCACGGTGCGACGGGGCGCAGGACGTGATGTTGGGCTGAGTCAGTAAAGTAAATAGCAAATCTTCCTGCAAGTTTTCCCTGGGGTTGGCTTAAACCATAAAAAAAAATTGAACAAGAGCATGGG